ACAGATCTTTATATAATTTTCATGCAAAAGGCAAGACTCATGCAGACAGTGCTGAAATTTTGATGGACAGCTAAGTCTTGAAGGCTGAAGATGAACTGCATATCAATTACTGAATAGCTAGTAATTGTTTGCAGAATGGGAGAATTAAATTATTGACCATCTGAGTGGGGAGAATGCATGGGTACCATAAAAAAATAATGTAACAACCATTGGAATTTAATAATCTTTTCAAACTCAAATGCAATTATTTATTTAGATATGTAATATATTTTGATGGTAAAACACACACTTATACAGTTACCCTATGGGCACTACATTTTAATGCCACTCAAACAAAGAATCAACCTAGCATGGTGCAGGTCTAGCTTTCAGTATGGGAATTCTAAGTTCATATCTATTGTGACTTTGAGAAAAAAAGGTACTTTTTCTTATTAAGGCCTCAAAATTGATGTAAGGTTAAAATACTTAAAATGTTAAAATTCACCTCCTCGAAGGAAACACAAGCTAAGTTAATAGAATATCTTGTCACCAGGGAATTTTTATTCCTCTATTATTATTATTGTCTCTTATTACTCTATTTTATTTTTAGCACGCATACATCTCAGCATCACATGTAGTTTGATTGTTAGATAGCAAATGGCTAATTACATAACTGAATGGCAACTTTATCCTTTAAAAAGAAAACAATCCATTCTGTAAATTAATGGAGTGGCATAGTTTACTCAATTTTTTGCTACATTGCGAAGAACACATGCATAATATTATTGTTTGTTTGGATATTGTTCTATTACTTATAGACCATTCTCTCTAGCAGAGTGAGAAGATAAGAAAAATCTAACTTTCTGCTACTTATCCCAATAATGCAAAGCAGAACACTTCTTTTTCTTCAGTACAGTGGTAAAAAATAGCATTTGCAAGAAGGTTGCAATTAGCTTCAGTTCCAGATCTGTCATGAAGATTGGTGCCTTGCCTCACCATTATGAAATAACATTTAGAATCAAGTTTCAAAAACATAACAAACACAACATCAATAATACAGTATAAGTTCTTTATGATACCCTATCAGTGAGTCACACAGAAAAAAATATGGGAAAAAAATCTGGAACAATTTCTGTTGTATGCATTGAAAAAAAAACTTGATGTTTTTCAACTCCCTATTTTCAAGGAACCATTTCTGTGTAAAACATACCTCATCTATTTGATGGGCTAGATAACCAGATATTAAATGAAAGAAAGATTGCCCAGGAGAATTTCTATGGAAATGTTTTGCAGTTGTATAGGATGTCAGGTAATAATTAAGGATACACATCACAAATTTTATGTATCAAGTTTCATTACACAGGTTCATTGCTGACAGGATGTAAGAAGATACTTAACATAGATTACTAAGGTAAAATACACATGATATATATTTCTTTTGTTCACCTTTGAATCTATTCTTTTGTAAGAAAAGGCGGAAAGAAAATTGTTGCCCTCTTTTTCTTCTCCAATTTTTCTATTATACATTGCATATAACCTTTATCTTTTTAATTTAGGTCACATTGTCAGTATACCTGAGATTTTTTCCCCCTCTTTGGCTTTGATTGGCCATCTCTTCTATGTCATAAAGTGTAGCAAAGGACATGATTTGGTTGATGTAGTAGTTCCTCTTAACCCAGCCTCCACCACATTTCCATATCTGGCACCATCATACACCCAAATGAATGAACCAAGAAAAGGAAGACACATATAACCAGGGCTTTTTTTCTCATAGAACGCCCAGAATGGAGTTCTGGCACCTTTTTTGAATGGAACCTTGTAGGATAGGCAAGGCGAGTTGTATGACGTGTGAGAGTTCCGGCGCCTTTTTTTTTTTTTTCAAAAAAAAAAGCACTGCATATAGCCATAGGTGGCACACAACTGCATAAAATATTCTGGACACAGGAAGCTTCTTTCAGCCCAGCAGCACAGAAGAAGATTTCTCTCCCAAGGCTAATTTTAAACCAGAGGGATGGGAGGGACACTGTTCCTTTGGGACTACAATATAGCAAAGGACAACTATATCAAGTCTTCCCTTCTTTTACATTTCCTGTGTAATACTTTTTCCTGTTCTACTTTTTTTGCTGACATGAGTGCAAAGAGGAGGGTTTGTCAAGTAGAAAATGGATAGATCCTGTAGAATTGGGATGGAAATGTATGCCATTAAAGAGGAAGGGTAAAAAACTTTCAGACCCCTAGATATTCCTGAATAAAATTTCCAGCAGTACAATCAACATAGCCCATACTGAAATTTGGATGAAGAAATTGGAGGAAATAGTAGACGTTGAGCCTTTCTTTTCTGTTGAATCTCAAAACCCCTTTTCTAAATTTCTAGGGAAGCCCAAAAGGCAAAAAAAAAAAAAAAAAAAAAAAAAAAAAACCCACCCCTAAACTCTGAAACTTAATAAATTTGTTCACATTTGATCAATTTGCTCACCAGAATGCATAGCTACTGCAAGAAAGAAATTATTTCCAAAAAGATGTAATCAACGATCAGGACACATGCATGTTTCTGCAAGACAAAGAAAATAAAACTTAAGGGACACCGATCAGGCTATCTTTCTGGGATGGGACCTTGACTCTGGAACTCTTTTACCAAAAGATATTTGGTACCAAATCTGTTTCATTGGCATAAATAAAATATTTTTATTTCATAAACTATGTTTAATGTGACTGTAACTGTCATCACATTTTAATTATCTGGTTTTAAGATTCTGTACTGAGAGTGAGACACCTTTGGAATGAACAATGAGTGCAAATACTAAATGCTTCATTAAATCAATACATAATATAATAATAATTGGGTAACAAAGGTTAGCTCAGGATCATTCCCCAGCCCTAGCTTTATGCCAGCTGCTAGTGAAGAAAATGAGCCACAACTAACCCTCTAGGTCTAGGGTGCTAGAGCAGCGGTTCTCAACCTGTGGGTCGGGACCCCATTTGGGGTCGAACAACCATTTCACGGGGGTCACCAAACAACGCAGTCTGCCATTTTTTTCCCCTTTTCCTTAGCTGTGCTACTCCCTTTTATTCTATTGGCTTTTGAAAGCCAATAGAATAGACTTTCTTGAATAGAATCTAATTCTATTGGCTTTCAAAAGCCAATAGGAATTGTCCAGGCTGTCGCTGTCTCTGCCCTGCTGAGCCCGCCAAAAGTCCCATCCTGCAAACGGTGCTGCACCAGTTGAGTAGTCCTCGACTTATGACCGGTTGAGTAGTCCTCGACTTACGACTGGTTGGGGGTCACGGCATTAAAAAGGTTGAGAACCACTGTGCTAGTGTATGTGCTGCCTCTATGCCTGGCTATTATAATCATCAGTTTAATGACAACGTGTGGCCTTCCTACATTTTTGCCAAAAGCAAGCCAGCGCAGTTTCAATGGTGGAGCCATTCATACTTATTTATCCTACCTCTCTCACTGAGATTTATTCTCAAAGCAATTCAAGTAGGAATACTGAGGGGATGCATTGACTGGTATCTCTCTACTGAAACCTAGATTGAATTTAATTACCTAAATGGGCCCAATTCCATATGGGTCCATTACTGCTCACTATTTGAGTAAGATCATGGTCCTTAATCAGAATTTCCTAGCAACCCAAAAAATGTCAAGTGATGGGCATATCTCAGCCCGTTCTTGCTTTAAACAGCCTTATTCCAATTCCTCTTCTTCTGGAATATAAGCAATTCTTCATTTTTAATCTACATATAGCCATGGTGTGTAAACATGCTTCTTTTACCACCCCGCTCCACCCCCTAACTTGGCGATTAAATGTTATCTGACTATATCAGCTTTGATCAATCATTGGTAATTTCTGAAGGGAAATGCCTATACTTTAGAACAAAATGCAGGAAATGTATGTCATTGGATTGTCATTATACAACAGCATCCGCTCCCAAGAAGACATCAAAACAATGTTCCACTAATGAACAAAAAGTTAAACTGATACAGCAAAAACCTAATAACAGCAAAGATCCCAAACATGAAAATATACTGAAATTTTGATTACTTCCATTCATTTCACATCCTGCAATATCCAGTCTGCTTGGATAAGCTTAGTTCTATCTGCCACCTTAATGAGAAAATGGAGATAGTGGCTGTATTCTTATGAGATTACCTATAGATAACCCATTTCTGAGTTTTACATGACACACTGATCCAGAAAGTAATCACAGAGACTGGGTTTATATAAAATAGAACAAGGCCAAGTGGACTTGAGTAGTTTATGTTTGAGTGGGGCATGCAAGCAGTTTCAGGTGACTCCTTGTCATCCTCTTAGGAGCTCATTCTGATGAGCAAGGAGCAACAGTGACATCGCAGGTCCTCACCCCCACAGCTCCACCTGCTGTGCGCACGGAGGCAAAGAGCCTGCTCAGGGCAATCTCCCTCGCAGCTTCCTATCACTCGGTTCAACAAGCGAATAATAAAGGTGATCGCCAGGAGCAGGAGTAGCATCTCTCCACTTGTTCACCCCTTCTTTCTCTAAGCAACGCGCAGTAACGCTGGGCCTAGCGTAGCCTCTCCCAAATGCTACCCACTCCAGGAAAACCGAGGCAGGGGCAGCGGTTGCTCTGGAGTCCAGACCGCCCGTTCGAGTCTTCCAGCTACCACCTGCGTGCGCTCACTTACCGGCTCCCTCTCTCACTCCGCCGCACGACTGGAGAAAGGGCACGGAGGGTGCAGTGAGCGAGCTATGGAGCCAGTTTCTAGCAACCGCAGCCAGCGCTGCTTCCCTTTCTCTCCTCGTCTCCTAGGCTTGGGGAAAGCGGGCCACGGAGGGCCTCTCAGCCAGGGGACAGCTGCCCGTGGCCGCCTCATTGACACAAAAGGCCGGAGGGGGGGGGGGCAAAGAATCAACCTGATTGCCAACTTGGAGTGGTCGTCACTTGGGATCTCAGAGCTCCAGAATCCAGAGAAGACCAGGAAGAGTTTGGGGACCGGGCCTGTTAAATTAAGGGGCAACTAGGCCGGAGGGGGGACTCACCCAGCACGAAGTAGGGCAGCTCGGTGTTCTCCAAGTCATCGACCACCACCAGCTCGCCGGGGAAATCATTGCGGACCGAGAAGAGCAGCTTGGGCTCAGAGGCCGAGGGACTATGCATGATGCTTAGGTCGTTCTCCCTCAAGAAGGGCAACGCTGACACGGTGATGCTCTTCAGCTTGCACTCCATCTCCTTGGAAGGGTCCCCGTCTGCTTCAGCCGGCCCGGCAGCCGCGGGCCCGGCGGCGGCAGCGGCAGCGGCTGCATTAGCCGCGGCGGCCGTGAGGCAGCAGCAGCAAGAAAGCCAGATGCAAACGCCAGCTAAAGCCATCTTGCGCCTGATCCGCCTCGCCTTGCAGGCACAGAGGAGCCGGCCGAGGGGGCGGGGAGGAAGATCCCTGGTCCAGAAAGGGGCTTGCAGTTGCGGTGCAATCAGGAAAGGGGCGGATTGTGGGAGGCTCTTTGTCTCCAAGGCGCTGCAACGGAGCGAAGGCAGGCGGAGGAGAAGATCAGGCGAGCGGGTTTGTCTCCGAGTTGGCTGCCTTCCTCCTCCTTTGCATCTTCTCAGCTCACTCACGCACACAGGCGGCTAGTCTCCACCTGGATTATACAACGCTTGGTGGGGAGGGAAGCTGCAGCTATATTTTACCATGCAAAATTGTTTTCAAAGCTTTCCCAGGACCCTGGCAATTGAGAGGCGCACCTGGTACGCATCCTGCCAGACCCAACTTCCATTCAGTTCAACCCCTTTTTCTGATTTGCAAACTAGAGGTTTCTGAGAATTACACAAGTCAAATGTAAACCACAACTGCATGCCAACACTTGATAGAATACACTGCCTTTGAATTTAGCTACGGTGGTGAATACTGTTGCTAGGCCTATCCATCCTTTTAACATTAGCACAAAACCCAAAGTAAAGGAATCAAAGCCATTTCCATTTTGGCAAAAAAAAAAAAAAAAAAAACCTGTCCATGAAATCACCAGGAAGGGAACTGAACTTGAAGGAAACTTTATTGTTTTATTTTCTTTAACTGAATGAAGCTTTTTGTTTTTTTATTTATCCTTTGTAAGCCATCAGAGTGGCAATGTGGCTTTCCTTAAATGTTTCCTACAAAACTAAGCAGGGTGGGAATGGGAAATTGACTAAGAAATCTCAGGATGGTAGAATTAGAATTATTTTTAATCACCTTAAGATTAAAGACAATTACGGCAACAGCAACAATCACTCATGTAGTGCTATCAAGAAGATTCCACAGGATTGTGCTCATATGGCTTCACAGCATTTACTTATTTCTGCTTCACTGATCTTAGGGAATAGTGCTGCATTTCCTTTAATGTGGAGTAAAAATACTTAACATTTAAAGGCTTTCCAAAAAGTGGATTTTGTGAATCAAATGACTTGTTTCCATGCATCCTTCCATATGGACCTACTGGTTCATTAGCAAAGATCTCTGAACTTGATCTGCTTGAGATCATTCTGGGGAACGGTGGAGTGAGTGTTAGCTGGCTTTGTTCTTCAATGTTTTCTTGTCCATAACCAACTTACCAACCTTATTGTGAGTTCCCAGCAACTTCCCCAGTTATAAAACTGAATAAAAACAGTGCTCATTTGTATTGTATTTACTATTAGGGCAGTTATATTCTGTGCACATTGGAGTATTTGAATTGATGGAATCCACAGAAACCTACATAGATATTCCCATTCACTTTTATCTTGTGACTCCATGAACAAACCATTACTTCAAGCTGAAGCTCCTAGATTGCTAAACAACCTACTTCTTCTATCACAGACAATGTCTATTTTGAGACAACGTTTAAGATGCCATCCTTAAAACCTGTAAAGTAGATTAATATGTAAAGACTTTCTCAAGAATCTCCAAAAAAAAAACCTTGACTTGCAGGTAGTTGCTTCCAAATTCTACTTCTTCCCAATTTGCCAAAATTTTAAACAAAATGACTCGGTTTTTCCATTGTCATCCACTCACAGCATAAAAACTACTTTCTCAGTACAAATATTAACATCTACACTAGAAAGCTATTTTACGAAGTACTTGGTTGCATAAAGAAATGCAGTGACATTTGAATCCAGATCTCTAAGGTAAAAATCAGCACTATATTCATGGATAGAAAATACAGAATGTGAAAGAGCTTTAGAAGGAACAAAGATTGCATAGTTCTGCAAATGAATAACTATATTTGCCTCATTATTTCTATTAGTACTTCTAAAACCACCAAGAGATCAATAGCAACTCATTAAAGACAGCAGACAATTTCCCAATTCAAATCAAGACTGAACCATGATTTTCTCCAGAAATTGGCAAACTACCTTAATATAAGACAGACTGCTATAAAATAAATATATTTAGGGAATAATTAATGAATTAATTATTCTCTTGATATAGCATATTAGGGCTTTCAGCCTAAGCTGAAAATCACATGTGGGACATTTTTCTAACATTCTAAATTACTTCTAATAATTGTACTGCATTCAAACATTCTGAGCTTTTTTAATTGCTCAATTTGTTAATATGCAGTTCATAATCTGAGAATTTAATGATTAAAAAAACTATGGTTGGTTTGAATGTTCTTAAAATTTCATGAAATATTTTTTTATTTATTATTGATTTCAACAGATTCACACCAAGAATTCCCGTGGCAAATCACTGAATCAAATCTAGCTGACTCGTTTAAAATTGAAACTAAATGTTTGTGTGTGTGTGTGTGTGTGTGTGTGTGTATGAATATATTCAGTGTATTGCTAGGAAAATTATCCTTTTTGATATAAAGGGTTGTCAAGGTTACAAAGAAAATATTCAAACATTTCCAGACATAGCAGTTACAATGAGCTGTGTCAACAAAATAGGCCATCTTAGCAAATGCTCAGATTATGAGAAAATAAGTACTTAAATATCATCACATTTATTCACCAGTTTCAGTCTTATTAAAATCACCTAATTGTATGAGCATAGTGTGCCCAGAAATGTATGTCCAGCAATTGCTTTGATAGTAGCTATATATCCCTATTTTTATTAAGGCTTTGAAATGTAATTTGCAATCATCTTTTGCTCATTTTTCATCCCTTTCTAATATAATTAAAATTGACTATTTACATATGGATTCAATTATTTATAGTAATAGTATTTTTATTGTAGTCACTAACCAGTATTTTATACAGTTTTGGGAAAGGGTTATTGAGCTCAAATTAAGATACATAAACATTTACTAAATAATTGATGGACATAAAATGGATCAAACTAAAATACACAGTAAATAGATGTCTAAAAGTAGAATATTAAAATGTTTAAAATGATTTGAATGATAAAATAGCTTTGTAAATAAAATACTGAAATACTGAAATGTCAAATTATGAAATTTATTAGTGAAGATGTTGATTCGGTCCATAAAACTGGATGAGTAGCAGAAGGACACTTCGTATATCCATAAAGTCCTAAAAGGAGAAAAATAGTTTCCTTTGTAACTGGCAGCTAAAACAAATTTTGTTACTTCCCTAGAGATGTTAAGGTCTCAGTCAGATAGTAAAAAAAAAAAACCAACAACAACACTTGAAATCATTCTCAGAACAGGTTGGACTTCTATGAACAAGCAAAGCTAGGGTAAACTTTATGTTAGAAAGGACATAGAAAAAATACATACTGTAGTCTGCAGTCTCAGTTTTGTTCATGTCATAAGCAGGTTCACTCTGCAAACTGTATTGTTATATCTTCCCTCCTGTATCATAGGGAGCAAGGCCATGAAATGGGCTAAAGAAAGAACTTTACAGTGCTTTTAGCAAGTAGTACTGAATGGGTAATTTGTTGGCACAAAAGAGTTTCTATTTATATCCTGTCAGTAGTAATTGCCTGGAACACCCTGCTGTACCTGGTGAGCTCTCTGAAACACCCACTGCCAAATGCCAGCTCTAGTTTGTGATAGGTCCCATGGCACAAGAAGCATGGATCAGTCTGAATTTTAGTTTTCCAGAAAGAGGGAAAAGCTCTAGAAGGATCGTGGTGGCCAAGAAATCTCTAGAAAAATAAAGCTTGAGACAGAAGTAGAGCCGGCATATGCAGATCTTAAATCTCAGGGGGCTCATCCCACTTTCTAAACAGGTTGCTGCATTTAAAATGCAGAACATTTCGTGGAATAGCACTCTTAGAAATCTGGATTGGATAATTGTAAGTTACTATGTGCATATGCCTGTGAGCCATATAATGTGGGAGATGGATTTGGTTTAGAGCCCCATCCCAAGATATCCGAAGGACAAAATATGGCCTATGTATTTATTTTTGTCTACAATGAGGTTTGCAACATCTTAGTCCTTTGGGGGGACCAACAATCCCTCCATAATTTTTGTTCTAGAATATTTTGCTGTAAGCTTTTTTTCTCTATACTGGTAGTATTTCTCCAGAGCCTCTACTTATGTATAGAACATAAGTGAATGTAATGCTTCCAGTTTTTAAAGAAGGTATTCCATTATGTATAGCTTACTTTTTCTAAGTAAAGTATCTTGAATATGTATACATTTGCTACCAAATATGAAATAAATTCTCTGTCATTGAAATTTATGTATACTTTGATGTAGGTCAAAATTGTTTTAATTACATTTTCCCCCATTCTGAAGAGTTTTTTTCCCCTGCTAGTAGGCAAAGACATATTTTATTTTATTTTCACACTGCCAAGTTAATTCTGCAGATTAGCATGCAGGAAATAATATATCACGTAAACATAATCTTGAAGCAATTTTCTCTTACACCCGTTTCCCTTTCATAGATATTCCTATATATGCATTAAATAATGGGTGGATTGCTATACTACATGAAGACAAGGCTTTTTTTGGGGGGGGGGAACACTGGGGCCTTCACACAAAATGCTATGACATAAGTTATGATTTATACATTGCAGTGGCTGTATACATACAATATGACCCAGTTTTGTCTAGTACTTAAGGTGCTGGTCTAGAAACCAAGAGACTGAGTGTCAACACTGTGACAATGAATGTCATCGCTCTGACAACTGAAAATCAGCAGCCATTTTTACTTTTGCTTCTAATGTGCCTTTTCTATTCTTTTAGAGTTCAGATGTAGAAAGGAGGGGAGATGGGATGAATGCTTGAAGGTTTTTAGCTAGCCATAACAATGTAGAAGTGTGGGAACTCAAGGATATGATCTGGTAAGATTTTGGCAGGCTGAGAGACCAGTGACAAAAGCCCGCATCTTGCCTTAATTGGGGAATGTGATTTATGACAGCATTTGTGGGATGGGAATTGCAACGTTACTTTTTATCTGGGGGAAGGGAATCTCAGTTTTGGGTTCAACTATGTAAGTGCCGATATTTTGTTTCTGAATAAATGTTCTTTAAGGAAGAATTCTTGCCTTGAAGTTCTTTTACTGTTTCATCTATCAGAACCATGACATTAACTCAAAATTCACATCTACATTAACATCATTGGGGTCCTGATCTCCAGTCACCTTCCCAAAACCAGGAGAGAGGTTGGAGGATGAGTATGGAGAGAAAAGAAGCACTCACAACCCGCATCCTGGCCATGGCCGCTGCCTCAGTGGAGGGAAAGCAAGCCCTTGTGTCGTTGGAGAAAGTGGGTTTGGAAGTTCTGGCAGTGAAAGCGAGACCCAAAATGCAGGACCTATTGTGGTCTTTGGAGTGGACCCTGCCTGGTGGAGACTCTAAGCATCCGAGACAACCCAACTGAAGAAGAGTTCTTCAAAAGTAGCTGAGTCAGAGTTGCAAGCAGGTGCCTCCTCCCGATCATAGAGGAGCAAAAAGATTGGCAGCAGCAGAAGATTCAGGTAGTGGAAGTACCTGTCAGTAGTCTGCAGCTAATCGGTGGAGAAGTTGGTAGAAA